CGAAAGAGAGCGGGAGAAAGCGAGAGAGGGCGAGAGAGAGCGATAGAAAGCGGGAGAGAACGAGAGAAGGCGAGAAACAGCGAGAGAACGCGAGAGAAAGCGAGATAACGCGAGAGAGAGTGGAAAATAGCAAGAGAGAGCGAGAGATTGATTGATTGATGAGCTTTTATTTAGCTTTCTCAGCTATTTTCTTATACAGTTTAACATTTACATTTAACATTTACATATGTAAGATATGCGCTTTTAATCTTCTTTTAAATAATTCGAGCCTATCGCAAGTTTTAATTTCTACTGGCAGGACGTTATACAATATACTTCCTTCATAAAACAAACTTTTCTGTGCACTCCTTGTTTTTCGAAATTGAATTTCGATATTACCCGCTTGTCTTGTTTCCCTATCGCATTTGTTCCCTACTATTTGTAACTTATCTCTTAACTGAATTGGTAACAGGTTATTCAATATCTTGAAAATAAATATACATATATTATATTGTAATCTTTGTCTTACTGACATAAATTGCAACGCCTCTAGCATGTCTTCCACTTTGGTGTATCTATCACATTGAAGTATTATCCTCATAGCTCTGTTTTGTACCTTCTGCAGTTGGGTTATCTGCGTCTCCCCCATGCTTATTAATATCGTCGCGCAATACTCAAAATGAGGAGTTATGATTGTCTTATATATAATGCATCTAGTATACACTGATATGTAATTACCTACTCTATTTAAGAAACTCGTTTTTTTACCTATTTTCTTTAACATATAATCACAGTGATCTTGAAATCGAAGTCTGTCATCGATAATTATACCTAGATATTTCATAGTCTCTACACGCTCTATTTCAATTCCGTCCAGACATTTCAAAATAGTATTACCTCTCAATTCTTTTCGAATACTTCTAACTATCATATACTTCGTTTTACTTGCATTCATTTTTAACTTATTTATATTCATCCAACGTTCGATTATATTAAAAGCCGTGTTCAATTTTATCTCTATATCCGTGCTACTTTCTCCACTTACGTATATAAGCGTGTCGTCTGCAAACATTTTTATATTGCACCCTTCTGGACAGCCTTCGATTATATCATTTATATATATTATAAATAGTAAAGGTCCTAGTACCGAGCCTTGTGGCACTCCGTATTCTGTTGTCAATAATTTAGACCATGTATGATTGAAACGCACTTGCTGTTTCCTATTATTTAAATATGATTTGAACCATTCTAAGGCCATTCCTCTAATTCCATAATAATACATTTTTCCTAATAATCTTTCTTTGTCTATTGTTTCAAACGCTCTCTTAAGATCCATGAAAATTACACCTACCATTTTTCCTTCGCTTACTATTAATTTCCATTCGTCAATGACAGTTTGAATCGCTGTTTCACACGAGTAATATTTTCTAAACCCCGACTGATGTTCTGTTATAATATCGTTAGTTTCCAAATACATTTCAAGTTGTTCTTTTACTACTAATTCTAACACTTTCTCAAATATTGGTAACATATTTATAGGCCTATAATCGCTCGCTTTTTTCGCTTTATCTATCTTTGGAATCGGTATTATCGTAGAGGTTTTCCAACCTTCCGGACAGAGACCTTCTCTTAAAGAATTGTTTATTATATTCGCAAATTCCTCTTTTATTACAGAAAAAGTTGTCCTCAATATATCGCTAGTTATTCCCTCTTCCGTACCTTTCTTTTTCGGCAATCCCATAACAATTTTTTCTAACTGCTCTAGTTTAATAGTCACGAAATTTTCCATAAATCCTTTATTTTCGATAATATAAATAATTTTCTTATTTATATTCATCCAATGTTCGATTATATCACCGGATCTAACGACCTTTATAGAGTTTATTATACTATTAATACTTTGTATATAATATAAATTAAATTTATCAGCTATATTGCACTCTTCGATATCGCCTAAAATTTCAAAATCTATATTTCCTACTTCTTTTATGCCTACTGGCTCGCCTCTAATTATTTCTTTCAAGGTTTTCCACATAGACGTAGGATTTTCTTTATTAAGATCTATCATATTTTCATAATACTCTTTTTTCTTCTCCCTAATTAATTTTACTACTGTATTTCTTTCAATTTTATACTGCGACCAATTTTGTTCGGTATCGTCATACAATGCTCTTCTATATGCCTTATCCCTTCTATCCGCAGCCTCTTTTATTTCGTCTGAAAACCATTTCTTCCCTTCCCAAACTTTCGGAATTCTAAATTTTTTCCTCGGCGCCATTACATCTAACGCACCCACTATACTATCGACAAGTTTTTTCGCCCTCTCACTGACACCCATACATTCACACTGACATTCCTGGCTTTCTTGTAATTTATTTTTCACTAATATAGCAAATTTATTTTCATCAAACTCTTTATAATTCCTAGCACTAAATTCTCTATATTTACTTTCAGTTTTACTAACACTCAGCTCAACTTTCAGCCACGCGTGATCCGTAATTTTAGGTTCATGAATTACCTGTACTATTTTATTATTATTAGCGAAGATCAAATCTATAATTGTCTGACTGTCTTTCGTAATTCTCGTCGGTTCGTTAACATATTGTTTCATACCTAAGCTTAGCATTGTCGTTTGCAGTTTATTCGCATAAAACGAATCTCTCATAAGATCTATATTAAAATCTCCTATTACCATGCATTCTCCCTTTATTATAAACTCTTCTACTATATCCTCGAAAAATCTCAAGAAATCTCCGTGCGATGCGCTCGGTGAGTGATATATTACCATTATCACTCCTTTATATAATTTATCTTTTACTTCTACCGCAACACACCAACAATTCGATTCTAATTTTTTTTTCCCTCTAATACTATTTCATATTTAATATCGCTTCTAACGTATAAAATAACTCCTCCCGTATTCCTATTCTCAGCATTACATCTAACTATACTATAACCCGGAACGTTCACTTCACTGTCTTCGATATCCTCAGTCACTCTGGTCTCCGATAATGCTAAGAACGCAGGATTTATTTTCTTCATGATCTGATGTTGTATCTCATCTCTGTGCGCAATTAAACTTTGCGCATTTGTATATAGTATTATCTCCGCTTCTTCCTGTGGTTGCTATTTAGCGTCCTCCCAGCCTGCTCTCCTCTTCTCCTCCCGTAACGCCCTCTTAAAGGTCGGACATTCCGGACTAAGGGCGTCATGGTCATCGCTTATATTCAGATTGTATGTTCGATTTTTGAACATACAATTCACACATTTCTTCTTTGTCGCTGTACAATCACGCGAGTTATGACTTCCTGCACATTTATAGCATGCTTCCTCTCGCGTACAATTTTTTGCAATATGATAATATCCCCAGCATTTGAAACATCTTTTAACATTGATGTGATTAAATACAGGACACTTCTTCCATCCTACACTTAGCTTTCCTTTCTTCAATATCAGCTCATGTGTCTCTTCATCTGCTTCTATTATTATTGACCCTTCTTCATTTCCTTTTCTTTCAGATTGATTATTTCTCCTTTCTTTGATCATTCTCTTCACAATTCGCATATTTGCTGTATCTATTTTATTCTGCATCTTTATCGTATTTATAAGTTCATTATCATCTAATTTCATCTCTTCTACACCTATATTAATAATTTTTATCTTTGGTTTTGATTGAGGCGACTCTATCACTTTATAATTTTCTCCCAGCTTAGCTTGAACTGTCAGAGAGAGCAAGAGAGAGCGGGAGAGAGCGAGAGAACGCGAGAGAGAGCGGGAGAGAGCGAGAGAGAGCGAAAGAAAGCGAGAGAGAGCGAGAGAGAGAGCGATAGATAGCGGAAGAGAGCGAGAGAGAGAGAGAGAGAGAGAGAGAGAGGGCGAGAAAGAGCGAAAGAAGACGTGGGAAAGCAAGAGAGAGAGGGAGAAAGGGGGGGGGGCAAGAGAGGGAGGAGAGAGAGAGAGAGTGAGAGAGAGCGAGAATTTATTTTTCGTTTGATTGCTTAAAAGGTTAAGCAACTGAGGAAAATGTCACTATACTAGGATGGGTGACCGCGGATAAGATAAAGCAGCTGCGGACAAAATCACTCTGTCGGGATGGGTAACCGCGGACGAGTACGACGCTGTAGTCTTAAAAAAGTGACACTTTTTCGACCAAAAAATAACTTAAAAAATTCATATCTCCGCAACCAATAGAGCTATCAAGTTCGTTAAAATCTCATTTTACTCGGAAAAAATCGCGCTTTCGATTGATATGGTCATCTTTTGAAAAATATGTTTCCGTTTATGAAATATTTCAAATTTTTGTTTTCAAGGTTACGAAAATCGTGTTACGTCCGGTAAAGGATACACAGTAGCGTCCTACGGATAATTTTCGCTATTGTTTCGATATTTTCGCTATCTTTTTTTTGTTTTTTTGTAGATTGTATTTTAATTTGACGAATGAAAGATATAACTTAGCGAGACGCTACCGCGTCTCCTGATATAAACTATTCTTCAAAACGTCATTATATGTGATTGTCGCAAAACGGATCTCTCACTAATTGTTCTGTTAGGAAGTCGGTTGCGAATCTCGATAACTGCCATTGTTAATATGTAGTTAAATCAAGTGAGATGAAATCTTTGACGTGAAGGCTTTCAGATGTTGATTGCTCAAGCTTGCTATAACGAAATTCGTGATCATACTCCCACAGTATCTTCAAATGATATGATATAAGAATGCTTGATGTAAACTGTTAGAGGAGAAACTGCAAGCTTCTTCTTGTATATCGAATAAGAAGATTATCATTAATCTTCTTCTTTTTCTTCTTCTTTCTCTTTAAACAAGGAACAGATTCGGGAAAAGGAAAAATCCAATTCTGGGGGTCGATCATGAATCTTTTTCTTTAGCATAAACTAGTGAAAAGTGAAAAAAATGAAAACTGTTACGTGTATTCGTGAAAAGTAAAAAATTTTACTTTTCACGAATACACGTAACAGTTTTCATTTTTTTCACTTTTCACTAGTTTTATTTGAAATGTGAAAAAAGTTTTATGTGAAATGTCGAACCATTTAAAATGGCTGCTGCGTGGTGGATTTTAAACGAAGAAAATAATGGTGATGGAAATGAAAGAAATAATTTTCGTATAATACGAAAATTTTTACGAGACACTCAAAATCCGTTTGATATTCCGGAGAAAAGATTTCAAGAAGTATACAGGTAATATTATAGATATATTATTATATATTATATTTATTTTTTATACTAGATTTCTTATACTATAATGTTTCTTTTTTAATAGTAAAAATAAGTTTTTAAGTTTTATTTGTATATATTTAATTATAAAAATTTTTTTAAATTTATATTTATATAAATATAAAGATTTAAAGCTTTATTGGGTATTAAATATAAATAATTAATGGCAAAATCCGCGCGTGGATTTTGCGTATGCTATATAATAATAAGAAATTAAATTTCATTTTATGCACAATAAAGCACGATATATATTTTTTGGTGAACAATTAAATAAATCATATTTATATACTTTATAAATTAATCTTTAAATTAATTTATGTAGATTATCTCGAGAGGCAGTGATACAGTTATGTGCCAGTTTACATCCATATATGCCCGAGGGAAAGAAACCAACAGCAATTCCTTCCGAATTAAAAGTATAGTTTTATTCAAGAAAAGTAATAAGCTAGACACAAAACTTTTTATTTATTTTTCATTTTGCACCCTTTGACACATTTTTAAAATATTTGTATAATCGACAAATATCGTCTTTTTATAATATATATAAATTTTATAACAAATAAAAACTGAAATAGACTAAAAAACTTTGAAGAAAAAGAACTTTATATGCTTTATCATGTTTCTTTATATTAATTTCAATCTAATTATATATGCGACAAAATATTATAATAGCCATTTAAAAATTGTGTCTTTTTTATTGTAGGAAAAAGATAATTTTTTTTGTTTAATTTTTTGCATAGTACACTATAAGAAAAATTTTTTTTACAAATATAATTAATCTAACAAATTAATCTCAAATTAAAAATCGATTTATATAATTCTTGGTTATTTACCAATTACCTTATTTGTGCACAAAATAAAATTTAAATTTATTGTTATAACATATATACGCAAAATCCACCCACGCGCGGCTCTCATTTGCTAGATTATTTATATTTGTATTTAATATTTTAGAGCCTTGAATTTTTATACTTATTGTTATTAGTTATATTTTTTTCTTGTTACATTTAGATCTTAGCGACATTAAATTTCTTTGCTTCTGGTTCATATCAACGGCGAGTCGGCCAAGATTTTTATCTTGTATGTGCCAAGCGTTAATATCTGGAGCAATTCATAGTGTTGTAGAAGCACTTAATCATATCATGAGACATTGGATTAAGTTTCCAACGGAACATCATGATATCGAACTTATTAAAAGACAGTTAGTTTTACATATATATTTTACGTAATTATGATTACAACGAGTAAGTATATTATTTTGATTTACAGTTATTATTATTATTTCAGATTTTGGCTTTATTATAGATTTCCAGGTGTAATAGGTGCTGTTGATGGCACTTACATAGCAATTTGGCCTCCAAACAAAGAACGAGAACATTTATATATCAACCGAAAACTATATCATTCATTAAACGTTTTGATAGTAAGTATATATATAATATATTAACCAAAAACATTTTAAATCTTTTAATAATAAAAATATTAATTATTATAAAAAATAAATAAATATATATATATATAATTTGTTAAAAGTAATGTTTAAATATATTTTGCAGATTAGTGATTTAAATGGAAAAATACTTGCCGTAAATAGTGGCCATGGAGGAAGAACTCATGATGCACGTGTTTGGAATGCGTCCCATATTTCATTGCATTTACAACAACAGTTTCAAAATGGACAAAGAAATACTTGGCTATTAGGTATAACATAATTATTAATTTAAAACGTTGTAAACTCATTGGCAAGCGCGAGAAGAAAGAACCAAAATGGAGGACAGTAAAAACATCTACGTTTATAGTGCCTTTATAGTTGAATATTGAATATCATTGATCTACAAATAAAAAATGTTATATGATTTTGATATTATAGGAGATTCCGGATATCCCCTATTACCTTATTTAATGACGCCAAAATTAAGGCAACCGGAAGGATCACCTTCAGCTCGTTATACTAATGCTCACGTAAGGGCTCGATCATGTGTAGAAAGAGCTATTGGAATGTTAAAAGGACGATGGAGATGTCTTAGGAAAGAAAGAGCATTACATTATTTGCCAGAGTTCTCAGGTAGGAATCTTATATAACAAATACATTAAATATTTGAGAACGTTATTAATTAATAAAATTTATTTTAGCTCTTGTTGTAATTGTAAATGCTTGTTGCGTGGTCCAAAATATTGCAAATTATTATAATATACCGCAACCAGAAATGTATTATGACGAGATAGACGAACAGGAAAGAAATATGCCAATATACGACGTAGCACAAAATGTAAATGGGAATGAAATTCGAGAACAAATTATACGGCGATATTTTACTTAAACTCAATAATTTACTATAACATGTAATTAAATTACATGTATATATATGTTATTAATAAAATTTTTGGAAAAGTAATTAAAATGTATAATATTTTTATATAATATATATTTTATTGATAACATTTTTTTAAATTAAAATAAACAGAAGTATTTTTTTAATTATTTTTTTTTGAAAGCATATTTAATAATATTTTTCTGTTAAATTACATTTATTGAAGAATGAATATAAAATATTAATAAATAAATATTAACTAATTAACACCAAAGAGGATGCATGCAGAAAACAAGATATAACTTATTTGAAAGTATTATTTTTATCGCATTGGGCAAAAAGGAAGAATTAAATATTCAACGATAACTCTGGAAGTGCAACGACATTGCAACAACATTACATGTTCTGTAACAAAAAAATTATTTAAATTTATTCTACTCTAAAAATAACAATGTACATAATATTTATTTATTATTTATTATAATCAAAATAATAATAAAAATGGGAGATATGCTCTGCTATTATAAAATTAAAACATTTAAATAGAAAATGTTAAAAATTGCTTACCTTCTATTCTAGAGAATATAATTTTATTGCAAAGATCCAAACGTATCCATTGTAGTTCTTATTTTTTGTATTTCAATTAATGTAGATCGTTGTACTTCCAAAAGTTGTCGTTGAATATTTAATTGTTCTTTTTTCAACGCTAATTTTTTTTCTTGAATATCAATCATTTTGATAGACATCGATTTCGTATTTGAATCTAAAAATTAAATATCAAATACTTTAAGAATTAAATGTTATTAAAAGTTAAATAAGTTATTAATATATAATATTGAAATGTCACACAAATCATACCATTCAAATTATTTAAAGCCGTACTCCCTTTACATAATTTTTTTTTCAATGGAAGATTATTTTCAGTTTCATCAAAGTGTTTTTTGCATTGTGTTTTTATCAGAAAATATTTCTTGAGAATTATTTGAATGATCTTGCAAAAAACTGACTCCTCCTTGTGGAATATTTTCTAAACCCGCTGCTTCTGAGGTTAAAAAATCTAATAACTCTTCTTCTAGCGGTGAAAAATTTATTTTTACTGGAGATCCTCCACCTGTTCCTTGACAATAGTTTCTTCTTTTGATTCTTTTTTTAAAACATTCATTTTCCAATCCTTCCATGTCTACAAAATATATGTAGATATGTTTGTTATTTTATAAGATATACATATTTTATAGAAACCTTATATAATAATCACCCGGGTGCATCCTGGCCTATAGTATACGTAACATATACTATAGGCTAGTGTGCACCCGGGTGATATTTCCGAACGCAGCCTAACTGCAAGTTGATTGGTTACATGTTTCTCGGACTAAGAACTCGAACCGATTTCTAATATCTTAAGCCTAGTCTACAATAGAGTCGTAAAGTCGTAAGTCGTAAGAAATTGACCAATCACAGATAAAATTAGAGAAGAATAATCAACTGTATTGGTCGATTTCTTACGACTTACGACTTTACGACTCTATTGTAGACGAGCCTTTAATGAACACAAGGCTAATTACCTTTAACCATTCGGAACTGGATTTAATGGGACCTTCATTGGCTGTATTTATTACATTAGCCATATCTTCCAATAGCTTTTTCTGAAATTATATATGTATTTATAATACATTTATATGTTTAGGAAAGAGAGAATGTATGGCTAAAGTATATAATATTTACCATTTCTGTTTTACTTTCACCTTTCCGTCGCAATCTTCCTTTTGCTACCTCGGGATGTAATTTCATCCACTCAAGCAATAATTTCTTTTGATTATTTGTTGTATTCTGCAACCAACCACAGAGAGTCGCAGTCCGAGAGAAATCCCGAGTCGAGGGAAGCGGCGATCCAGTAGCAGAGCGAGTCGACCGCCAAAACATAAATACTTTAATTACATTTTAATTCTAAGTATTAGGTTAAGCTATTAATTATAAACAGTTTATTTTCCTTTTGTACCATTAAAGATTATTGTGTTGTCAAATTAATTTTTGAAAATCATAAGATAATATTATCTTAAAGAATAATTATTTATTTTAATATTTACAAAATTTATTTATAATATGGTTGTTTTAAGAGTGTATTGAACACTTAAATTTATTTCATATTTATCTTATGTATAATTGACAAACATTAAAAATATGTTTACAACTATTTGTAAATGCAGGAAGCATTTTATATACAATAAAACAAATAAAAAATAGGTATTTTAAACATCTTGAGCTTTATGCAAAAAAGCATAAAAATCGGCAAAAATTATGTTTAAGGTTCCGAGCATAATAAAATACATTTGAATAATAAAGAGAAATGTAATTTTAACAATTTTATTTTATAAAAATCATTTTTAATAATTTTAGTCTTAAGTTACGAAATATGGCAAAATTACATTCAAACAACCAATTGATACGTATTTCAAATATTTTAAGTTAAGTTACGTTTGGTTTATTAGAATTACTAGTCAAACATCACAAATAATGCATATTACAATTAAGGAGCATAAATAGCTGCGGGTAAGATATCTAATGAAGCAACGAACTACAAAGAGAAATATTATTTTGTTGAAATGTTTATGTAAATATAATATCACAAGTTAATTTATAGTTTAAGCTTACATATCGGTTTTGTTTATTATTACAAATAAATAAAATATTTAAAAATAACAATAAATAGATTAAAATAGATAGTAAGGATATGTACAAAAAATATTTATAATATAAAACAAGAAAAACCAAAAACAGGAACTCTCAGAGAGTCGAGCGTAGCATACCACGAGCGCGCGAAGTCCTGAGTGGTCAGCGGACCACTGGCGGGGCGGCGAAACGCAATTGGCTGGTGGGCCAAGAGTGGGGCGAGCGCCTCGACGGATATATAAGCCGGCGCCAAGAGAGCCGGGGAGTTCTATCTCCACCTAGAATTCACAAAGAGGACTTTCAGAAAAGGTATTCTGAAATAACGCGGACAAAGACACTTCGGTAACAATTGCGGTAGTAACACGTCGATTAATCGAAATCACTGTACGCGATACGCGGCGATAAAAGTTAACGAGATCGGCAGAACAAAAATTACTGTAACGAGCAATCGAATGTTAACGGGGTTTAATTGTGACTCAGTGCGTGACCTGAAAAGAAAATAAATATATACATATTTATCAAGGTTAAATCAAACGTGTGAAATCACTTACCCGTCCTCGTCCTTCCAAGACGAATCAGTCCAGCGTAGTCCCACAGTCTACGTGATATCTAGATCACGAAAGTATCCCGAATCCCGTAAAGACTGAAAAAGAAACAGACGTTAAAATCACAGCGTAGGAGATCCAGAGCAAGGAATCGCTGCCTCGACAAAGTCGGATCAGTCGGCGTGTCAAAGCGCACCAAACCAGGGGCGTGGCGATGACAAAGACGATCAAAGGACACATCCCGACCTGGACCAGAAGCTGTAAATCAACTTGTTGTTTGGATGGTAAAACAACTAGCGACCACGTATTATGGCGAAAGCGGGCAACCTGAGGCCGTTATAAATGGGTCCCAACCAAAATAAGGGATCGTACGGTCACAATTCATTCTAAAAAAGTGATATTATATATATATTATAGTATTAAATTAAATTAAATAACACTAACAATTAATATAATTAAATTATACTCATTTATTAAAATTATTAAAAAATATACAATTGTTTAATTATATGTATATAAATACTAAAAGTTATGGTTATATAATATAAAATAAATTTGTACACGCGCGCGCACACACACACACACACACGCACGCACCACATAGTTAACACACACACACCATACAAAATAATTATATATATAAATATAGCAATTAATCTCTTACTTGAATTTTACACGTATCAATAATATTTTTTCCTATATTTTTACTTTCTTGACCTGCTTCTGTTCCGTTCTTTTCTTTTTTCTCGCTTCTTATTTAATCGATTGCGTTGCTAAGTAAAAGGTAAACGTCTATCCATATGTCTCTGCTTTATATATTAAAGTCTCATTTTAAAAAAATGTAATAAAATGAGAGAGGAAGAAACAAAAATATAACTAAATAAAATATTGCATTGTTTTATACACAATGCGCATGCTAACACATTACTTATTTTCACATTTATTCGTAAAAAGAAACATACTTAAAACGAATAATAAGAACATATTGGAAATAAAAGTTCACGTGAAATTTTGACGTGTCAACAATCGTACTAAGAAGATAAAGATTTATGATAAACAAAACTAACAAGACTCATACGTATTATTTTATTGCGGCTTATGATGGTAAAAAATATTATATATACATTGCACAAATATGCATATATTTTTTCTTCTCATAATTTTCACGTGAACTGTTTCATGTGAAAAATTATTATAGGGAAAAGTGAATAGTGAAAAAGTTCATGTGAAAGATTCATGATC